GTCAACACACAACATGAACACACAACATGAACACACAACGTCAACACACAACATTTAAGCCGAGTCTGTTCCAAAGAAAACATTCATGTTCACTGTTGTGTTTTCAGCTGAAACCTGAAAAACAGCAGCAGAACGACGGAGAGAAAGAAATAAAAGAGGAAGACGAGGAGCGGACGAGACAGAATGAGATGCGAGAAGAAGAGACAGAAAAGAAGTTGAGGGAAAATAGAAAGATGAAAACGACGGAGCAGGTGCATGACTGCCGCTCACAGGAAGCTGCCGACATGGTCAAAATAATGACACGTTCAGATTAAAGTGAAACAAATGATAAAAAGACGTTTCTCATTCTCCTTTACTGATTTGATAAAATATTAAATATTACCATTCTGAATCTGTCCTGTTCTCCCAGTGCGAGCTGAAGGAGACAGGCCACACCCCCGAACTGACCGGCAAGGATGATTGGAAGGAGGTTCCTGTGAAGAAGCAGACTGCAGCCAATAGGAAGCCTCCGTTGCAGAAGAGCCACAATCAGGAGGCAGACCAACAGGAGGTCACCACAGAGATCAGGTACACTGAGTGAGTCCTAACCTGCTCCTCACCTGCTCCTCACAGGATGAACCACAGCTGCAGAACCCCATTCACCATCATTGTTTCAATCTACACATGAAAAATTAAAAAAATCCAAATATCAAAGTGAAACCGACTCTGATGAACCTGAAACACGATTTAAACTTAAAACCTAAATCCATATGGTTCATCCTCTGGTAACAGTGAACGTCTGAACCAAGTTCATTTCACATAATGCTTGTAGATATTCTTCTTAAAGCCATAAATGTGAACACGACAGGAGAGTCACTGTCATTTACTGTAACTCAATTCCTCCGGGGACCATGACAATCCCAATGAGTCGGTTCATCCTGCAGGAGATGATTCTCGTTGACTAATTCGAGATCCACTGTCTGATCTGGGTTACTGAAGTTACAGAACAGAAACTTTATAAGAAAACAAGAGAAATCTGAAGTTATAACAGAATTTGTTTACAGAGAAGTTTGGTTTCACTTTGTCGTTTCTCCTTCAGCCACAGACAGCAGTCAAACTCCTCCTCCTACTGCTCCACCCACACCTTCAGCCTGTCCTGCAGCCCGGTGGAGGCCAGCCGACGCGTCAGCGCCACCCTCAGCCCATTACAGCCCAACTCCACTGAGGCTCAGACCACGCCCCCTTATCCTGTGACTGGCCCATCGCTCTGTGATGTCCAGAGGGAGTGTCAGAGGAAGGAGGTGCAGGTAGTTTCCACTTCCTGTTTATTAAACACCACACCTCTGTGAGTGTTTTTCACCAGACGTGTCCATCAAGGATCCACTTTAGATCGACTTTGATTTCCCATTGACAGGATTCTAATGAGCTTCATATTTAGATTTCATCACGACACTGATGATCACAAATGTTTGTTCCCTCCAACATGGTGACTGTAAGTTTAGCTCATCTCAGCTGTGGTTCTTGTCTTTTCTTCAGCTCCTCCGTGACTCCTGTGCACTTAATAATTCGCTACACAGATGTAAACATTATAAATAAGATTCCAAGGTAGAAAATCAAGCTTCCTTTAGCAGAGGTTACTGGAAACAACATTATCCTCTTATCTACACTTAAAATAAATCTAATAAATCACAAGATACTTTTATATGAAAGTTATTTTGGAATTTGATCGGTCCTCAACATGTGTACATCTGTAGGAATATTCTTCATTAGTTTAAATTAGGAACCTCCCACAGAAAACCTTCTTTATATTCTGGTCCTCAGGATGCGTCCGACCTTTCAGAGGTGGAGCTCCATCAGCAGGAAGTGCTGACCGAAGACTCGCTGTCCAATGATGAATACGAGTGTGCATCACCTGACGATATCTCCCTGCCGCCACTGGCAGAAACACCCGAGTCCGGCTTGGTTCAATCAGACTTTGAGGAGGGCTTCTGTTTCAGTTCCCGCAGCGCCCACGTCAACCAGCACAGCCACCAGGCCCAGTCAGGGCAGAGCGGTACCGGTGCAGTCCAACAACAGAGAGGGTCCAGTCAGACGGAGGGTTATGCCCCTCCTCCGACCAATCATAACAACCCCAGGTCTGTTTGTATCGATAACACAAGTCAGATTCTCACAAGGTGTTTGATGGATGTCAACAATTTACACTTGTTTTGAAACACTAGCAGTCGAGCTTACCCCAAACCAAGATGTGTGTTTTAATGCAAATCAGGAAACATCGGGTCAAACAAGTATAAGTATAAGAAAGCTTGACTTTACAGTTTGATGCTGTGCTGCCACATGTGATCACTGAGCACCGAGCCTTACTGAAGGAGAATCAGATCGTGGTCACATCACACATTCACAATCCTGTCAGTGGACATGAGGCGTCGACCATCAATCCACCATCATCCAGAGTTAAGATTCTGTTCTTGTTGTGTATGTTACAGGTTCAGATCAGAGTCCAGTTCATTTGTCCAGAGTCCATTGACAGTTCCTGCTCCAGGCCTCCTCAGCATCCTGCGGACTGAGGAGGCCAGTGTTGACTTCTTCCTGAGCAGCACTGAAGCACACTTCACCTCCAGATCCAACCAAGTCCACAAGAGCAAAACCACAGACAAATTCACCGATGTCCCTGAGAGGAGGAGCCCCTCAGAGACTGAGCCATTATTAAATGACCTCAACAGTCAGTTTAACCAGCCTCAGTGCACAGGATCCCAGAGTAATAGCAACCGAAATGTCACATCCAAAAGTGAGACCTTGCCACAGACTGATCCCATTCCTCATCCTGCAGATCAGAGCCCCACCCTTCAGTCCAACTATTGTCCTCAGCCCCTCAATGGTCCAGACACTGATATACACAAGGACAAGACCCCTCTACAAGACACAGGGTTCCTCAAATGTGGTTTTGATCAGGACACAAATTTCTCCCAAACCAGAAAGGAAACCTCCGTAGTCTCCAAACCTGACAGTCCCACCAACACCAGTTCAGTTACCCAGCAGAACGTTTTCATCCAATCTTCCCATTCAGACACTTTACCACAGGAAAGAAACAGCCACAGTTCCCCCCACAAAAGCTCCTTATCACAGAATAAGACAAAAAACTATCTGATCCCACATGCCAGAGGATTTGCTCAAAGCCCGAACCTCACAGATTCTGTTGTCCACAATGACAGAACCCTTCCACCAGACATTAGAACATGCCTACAAACCAACACAAGCCTCCTTCAACACAACAATCTTCCACAGTCTTTCCCAGATTCGAGCCTTGATCAGAGTGAACTTTCTACTCAACCCAGCAAGGAAACATCCTCAGTGAAGACTGTTTACTGCCAGTCCTCCTCTTCAGACAGTCCATGCAATGTGCCACAGGCTGGCATCACTCTCAGGGCGAAGCAAGACGATCTACCTGATGTCCATGTTCCCAATAATACAGAGCTAGAGAGTAACAGATTCAGCAACAAGCAGAGCCACATCACAGTCTACTCTGTCCATGAGTCCTTGACGCAGTGTGTGCATGACCCTGGCATGAGCCCCAGCAGCACTGCCAAGCCCACTGCTCCTCCTCTGCCTCAGACCCAAGCTCACCCTTACCCACCTCATCTACTAACTTCAGACCAAGACCCAGACATTTGTCAGCCCATGGCCATCCGTGAGGAGATCAGGCTTACTCCTCAGATCCATGGGCCTCCCCTTCCTGCTCCACCTCTTCCCCAGGCCCAGGCAGAGTCTCTTCCCCGGGGAAAAGCCTCTAAACCGGGTCCTCCCTGCTTCACCAGAGCTCGGTCTAGAGCTACTGTTAAGGAGGGCTCTCCAGTGACGCTAGAGGTGGAGGTGACAGGACACCCAGAGCCCACGCTCACCTGGTGGGTAGCATACAACCAGCTCCACAAAGCCTTGTGACATTATTCACTTTCCTTGAGGCACAATTTACACCTGCATGAACATGTGTCCTGTGTCTAAATGTGGTTGATGCTTACACCTGACATTAAGGTGTGTCCCCGTCGACAACGGGGGAGCCTCGCACACTGATCAGATTATAAATCATAGATTATCGGATTTTAAAGAGCGGAAACTTATTGTCTGCGTTCGTAATCATGATCCTGATATTCATCTTTGAAAAAAACCATCCACGTGCCCATGTTCTCGTTTAACTGATCAACATCATCCATTCAATCTGTTTGAGGCTCATACACCAGATTTGTTTCCTGTGGAGACGTGTCGTAATAATGTGAACCAAGAGCATACACTTAAAATAAGAACCCTTGTTGACGCAGGTGTAAGTGATGTTTGACCCGTATTCATCCACACGGTAAAACTTAATCTGACTATTGACTCTACAAAAGATTGATAACATGTCAACATTCTACTGACTCACTTTAATCATTAACCTTAGTGAAGTTTGTGTGATTCCTTCAGGTGGTTTAGTAACATAACACGACCACTGACAACACCTGCATGAACGAGTCAAACACACTTGGTCCTGATTGGCTGTCTGATGCTGCGGTTGTGTCAGGCCTCCGCATGCTCTGACTGAGGCTGTGTGCTGTCTGACCTCCTGTCATCGTGGTCGCTCCAGGTCTGAAGATGGAGACACCAGCCCAGGCCCATCGCCGGTCTGTGACGGCGGGAAACACTTCCTGTTCATTCCTGAGGCGTTGGACTCAGACGGCGGCTTGCACGACGTTGTCAAACATCAGTGGCTGGTGGCTGAAGTCTTTGACCTCTTCAGTGTAGACTGGCAGACGTGGTTCGGGACTCTGTGCGTTCTCCTGTGGCTGCTCTACCTGATTCTGCTCTAAGACTGTATCTGGTTTATACTGCGGGAACCTTTACTTCCTGTTTTCATTGTGTCTCACAATCACGTTTTGTTTGAAACATTTGAAAACACACACACACAGTGTTCAATCCAGATTTTCTCAGTCTGTACATTTGTAGAATCTGATTATTTATATTTATAAGTATTCAGAAACACATGTATCTGTAATTCAGATTCATATTTTAGACCTGTGATATTTGTCGACTGTGTAAATGTTCTTCAGGTGAGTTTATGGACCTGAAACTGGTGGAAGGTCTGAAGAAGGTTGAGAAACCTCATAATCAATGTTTCTGTTATATGAATTATTTTATTGTCATTTTTAATTAAATCTGAACTCATTTTATTAAAAATCTGATTATGATTTTCTTTCCAAAAATAAAAGCTACACATGGTATTAAACCATCACATCCATAACAAGGACAAAGTTTAAACGTTTTATTTAAACATTACGAGTATAATATAAATTAATGAGATTATTTTCACTTTCTGAGTCAAAATTTTGGGTGTGACACTAGTTATTATTTTAAGATTTAAAATATCAATGTGTGACATTAACGATATGAAAATGTATTTGTAGAGTTCTGAGTCAAAATCAAACAACTTCAGAGAAGTTACTGAGAAAAGTAAGCAACGTTTAAATCTGTTGTTTCGTTTAGATTCTATGTTTTCACCAATTCTATCATTTTGGGGCGTTGACTTTATTTAGACAGGAATCAATTGAAATGTGGAGCAGTGAGTATTGGGCGACATCTAGTGGTGAAGGTGCAGATCACATGATACTGATCATCAGTTGGATTGTCATGATTCATCCTGTTTGAAATAATAAAGTAAAGATGAAAAATAATCTGCTCCTTGTTTTTATTGATTGAAAGAGTTGAAACTAAACGTGTAGCGTCAAGATTCTCTGTTCGTGACGTGTTCGCTGAACACTTCCTGCTGCTGACACCTGTCACTCGCCCTCAGACACTTCCTCCACACTTCCTGGACAGAAATCGAGACTCCTCATTGGCTGGAGGGGATCAGAGGATTCCTGAGAAGTTGTTTTCAAACCGGAGAGAAACAGGATGTTCGGTGGGTGTGGTCATTTCTCTGTGGTTCAGGGGGAGTTCCAACAAGACCCCCCCCCCCAACAGTCACATCGAAGCACCTGCGGAGTCAGGTGGCCAGTAGGTGTGGCCTGAAACCAATTGAAAGTGCTGTCATCTTGTACTGACGTGTGTTCATCATCTTTATGTTGTGACGTCATCACCACTAATGTCTCCGGAAGCTCAGAGAGAAGTTTGTGATTCGGTCTCAGCTCATCACAGAAGAACAAGAATCAAAGTCTGAGGATTGAAGGAGATAAATCCACCGACCGTGAGTCCGTTTAGAGGAACAAGTGATCGTGGATCAGTTTCTCTGCTTTGGTGAAAATCAAAGTCTCAACAGGGACAATGAGACAAAAGTAAACGAGCCCCAAACAGGACAATGTTTGTGGTGTCCACAGACAGCTGCTCTGTCCTGGGCCTGTGTGTGAGGAGGAGCGGGAGGAGCACTGCTCTACAAAATGTCCTCCAGCAGGAGGAACATTACGCTGCTGTTACATCATCTATGACCAGTTGGATGGAGGGTCAGTGATGGTCTGAGGAGGCAGATCCTTGGAGGGGCACACAAACCATGTCACAGCCAACGGTTCCCTTACTGCTGTGAGGTACCGGAGGAGCGACTGTCAGACCTTAGGCTGGTCCAGTGGACCCTGGGCTCCTCCTGGTGCTCCTGGTCCAGTGGACCCTGGGCTCCTCCTGGTGCTCCTGGGTTCTTCCTGGTGCTCCTGGT